GAAACATAGCTAAATATTATGATTTTTACTCTTACTACATATCCTTCATATAGAATGACTTATATAACCAATACATTCACTTTCATGAGTAGATAACAATGACTAGTAATTATACTTTATTCTATCTCTAACATTATAAGCTCTGATTTTGGTAGAAATACATTCATATATCCTACAGTAATCTATGGTGCTTGCGTATCTCATCATCAATCTCAAATATCGATCGAGTACCGATATTTCCTTTCTCATCAAGAGTATCAAATATTGAGATCTCAGCTAGTTTTGGCTTCTTATCTGGTTTTGAGCTAGTTTTACTCCTTTGAAGAGACTTATTTACCAAACTATCCTTTGTACTATTCTTATCTTGTTGTTTTGTTAGGAGGCTTATTCAATTCTTATCATTGATTACCTGATATGATACTAGATAATTACGTCTAAGATATGCTGTTAAAATGGATACTTCTTTTCCATCTATATATACATCCATATCTGCCAACTCATAGTAACTATCTTCCGAATCGTGTATTCTACAACTTGCTGAGATTCTTTTGATATCTCTAGCATGATGTGATTTATTTGGTTTTGTTGTTAGCAAATTTATTTGATTATTATCATTGACCTCATATGATACTAGATCATCCTCTTCATCATATGCTATTAAAGGGGATATTTCTTCTCCATCCATAAATACATCCATGTCTGCTAACTCAAAGTAATTATCTTCAGAATTATATACCCTACAATTTTCTGTGATACTATTGATATCAAATTTAATGTTTCCCCAATTGATTTCTTTCTCATCAAGAGTATCAAATATTGAGATCTCATTAGGAGTAGATTGCTTTGGCTTCTTATCTGGTTTTGATCTAGTTTTACTCCTTTGCACAGACTTATTTACCAAAGTGTCCTTTGTACGATTCTTATCTTGTTTTGTCAGGAGGTTTATTTGATTATTATCATTGACCTCACATGATACCAGATATTTACATGCATAACATGCTGTCAATATGGATACTTTTTTTCCATCCATATATGCATCCATGTCTGCCAACTCATAGTAATTACCTTCTGAATCGTGTATTCTACAACTTGGTGTGATTCCTTTGATATATCTAGAACGATCCAATTTATTTGGTTTTGTTGTTAGCAAATTTATTTGATTATTATCATTGACCTCATATGATACTAGATCATCCTCTTCATCATATGCTATTGAAGGGGATATTTCTTCTCCATCCATAAATACATCCATGTCTGCTAACTCAAAGCAATTATCTTCAGAATTATATACCCTACAATTTTCTGTGATATTTTTGATATCAAATTTAATGTTTCTACTGCTTATTTCTTCTTCAATAAGCTGAGATTCCTTTTGAGCGAGAACCGGTGTTAAATTTATTGGTTCTGGTTTGTTGTGTTGTTTTGTCATAAAATTTATTTGATTATCTATGATCTCATATGATACCAGGTCTTTCTTTTTACGGTACACTGTAGACAACTTGCAAGGTTTTTCATCTATAAAGACATCCATATCTTCTAGACTATAGCAATTATCTTGTGAATCATAAAACATACAACATCCAGCCATCTTTCTAATTCGCAATCCTACATGTTTATTATCTTTGATCTCCTCTCTTAATTCTATAATCTCTCTACGTTGTTCTGTAGATATCTGTTTGAGATTTGATATTATCTCATCTATCCATTCTGTGATTCTGTCAATCCTTTTAGAGAGCTTGACAATCTGGGCTTCCATGGCTACTAGACCCAATTTACAATTTCACAGAATCAATTTTCAATACTGACTCATATTAGACACTAATCTGGTTTTATAATTATCCTTGTCATTGCTAGCACTGTTGTTTAAATTACATATCATCACAAAGACTGTTATTATAATTGTGCTTGCTAACTACAAAGTGTGGTTTGGTTGATTTATCTCTATCTGTTAGTGTATATGTCATCACTTATTGTGGAAGGTAATCTAGACCAGTAGTTGAGAATATAATTCCAGTAAAATTCTATATTCACTTTATGTTGTTTAGGGTTTTATTTAGAGAGTTGAATAGTGAATGCAATATAAAATCGAAATATATAAAGTCGTCATCTTACCAACGAACTCAACTATACAACACTCCTTTTTCCGACTCATAGGTGTAGCTGAAAACTTTCCTTTATAATGAATGAGTCACTCCTTGAAGAATATCAAATGTTGATGAATGAACATTGGGGGTTTCTTGATGAAAAATGGCCTTTGTTGAAGCCAACTAAATTTCATAGATCAGGACTAAAACCTGTTTCTGAAATAGATCTCGTCAAGAAAAAGGTATTAGAGAAGCTTGGACCAATACCATTGTTTTTCTTCCTAGTAGTGTTGTTTCCATTCAAGCACCACCCAGGTCCATATCGAAATGTAGAGAAGGGACTATTAATACTCTATCATCTGCTTGAAGGTTGTACATTTGATGATATGAACAGAGTTATACCTGGGAGTACTTTTCATGCGATCCATCAGAGTTTCTTTGGACATGAAAAGGACCTTAATAATGACTTAAATGACAAAATCATTGATTTGTTGGCTCATATGTTTTCCAACATAAGGATTAGAATATTATCTGCAAAGGATAATAATAAGGAAGAACTATTCAACACAATAACTTTATTCCTTGATGGTCATGACACAAGAGGAACAGAAATAGGAAGATCATCTAAAGTACAATGGTCACATAAACACAGAAATTCTGGAATGAGAACTCAAGTAATTATGGATTTTCATGGGATGTCTTTGTTTGTTTCTGATTCATTGCCATGTAGCCACTCTGATGGAGCAATGTTCACGGAAATGAACTTAAGAGATAAGATGGATAAGGCAGATCGTATGGCTCTTGATGGAGGCTATACACTATTTGTGAAACAAGTAGTAAAGCAAGGTAGATTGAAAGAAATGAATTTCTGTCATCCAATTCAGAAGCAGAAGAATGCTGAACTATCAGATATGGAGAAGTGCTACAATGAAAGATTTGGTAGTTTCAGATCAAAGATAGAAAGCTTATTTGGAGAGTTAGGAATGACATTTAAGAAGTTAAATAATCAGAAGCCTGTCCAAACATCAAATCCTAAGATATTCTCTTTGCAGTTTAGATTAGCATGCTTGCTGCTTAATATCAAACGGTTTGTTAAATTAGGAGAGCTCCAAGCACAACCTAATCATATGTCATGGATGGAGAGCCATTTTGACTATCCATCAACTGATACCCTCGACTTTGAGTCACTGAGAATCTCAACTCTAAAGGATATTACAGAGGATGCAAAGAAAATGTCTAAGTATCAAGCACGATTATTAGCAGGTACAGATACAAATGAATCTGACCAAGATATTGAAGATACATATGAAGTGAACAAAATAGTAGATCATAGGACAAAAGGAAAGAGAAAAGAATACTTAGTTCAATGGAAAAACTATGAAGATCACACTTGGGTAAGGGAGGAAGATTTTGATACAACGCAGTGCATAGAGGACTACAATAGACGTCAAAAGAAGAAGGGTAGACGCTACTAGGAGGATGTTCACATTGACAACAATGTATATCCTTCTAGGATATATTAGATATCTTTTAAAATATCAACCCTAACCAAATTCATAATCCATCATTTTGAGCAACTTGTATATTGTGGACATCCTAAATTTTTTTGAATGTTCTGATATATTAAAAATATGGTTGTATGTTCTAAAGCATGGTGTGTATTGATATAACAGAGCAATTTCAGAGAGGATGTGGATGACTAGATATTAAAAGTATACATGAAACATGTTAGATGTACAATCACAGAATATAGAAGCAAGTATGGACAATACCTGTACTATATTATTATATATGGTTGAGAGATCTGATTAGAAGGTATGATTAAAATAATATGCATGTATTAGTACAAAGATATGTAACTATTGATGTTTAGACAATGGGGTATACACCTTTTCCTGGGGGAGCAGCAGACTGTGAGAAAGAACTTTGGGGCTAGGATTAAGCATGCCTTACAGGTGCTGGCAACTGCCTCAATTGTGATATATTTTATGAAATATAGATGAGCTAAGTTATATATACATATATATGACAGTTACAACCATCCCCCAAGGCAGGTCTATTTCTGCCTGCTTTCACTCGACGATCTCATTTATCCAATTAGACCTTCATCGTTGTCCGCCCGCACCCGTCAAAGTCGAACCATTCCCTCAATCTCCAGCTCCAGCTCGTCCCCGTCCACCATTCGCATGGCCACCTGGGCATGGGCACGGCATCCTCTTCGACAGCCACGTTTGGCAATCCACGGTTCTCTGCAGATCTAGCGCAAGGCCATGATGCTGCGCCGCCGCCGCCGTCACCCCCACCTCAGACTCTGACCATTCCCTCACCCGCACACCCTCTCCGTGCTCCGGCTCCTTGCCTTCGGCGTGTCCAGATCCGTCACGTCCTTCACGCCCACCCCCGCCCGCCGCATGATCACCCCCTCTACGACCTCAGCGCCCCCAATGTCTGCCCCAACACCGTGTCACCGTCGTCAGCGCTGGTACCGAGACGCGTGTCGCCGCTTCCACAAGCGCCCGCCGGAGGTCATGGACTTCGCGCTGCTTGAGCCCGCGGAGGTGTGGTTAGACAAGCATGGCACGCGGGGCTTGCGCGCGCACGTCAGGATCTAAGCATTACATATATATCTTGACGTTCTCTGTTGTAGTATTGTGTCATATGTGACATCGCATCCTATGGTGAGGTTCTGGTTGGCTGTCGTGTTCTATTCCATCTCAGCCTGTCCTATCATATATTGCCCACAATATCATGACCCAGTAAGAAAGATGTCCATACGTGCCTGCGCGTTGTGTGTGAGGTGTGTATCATGGGGTGCTGTGCACTCCTGCGGTCCAACACCGAGACTCCAAGAAAACATGGCCGGCATTCATATTTTCCTGAAACAAAAAAAAAAAAGAAATTATACAAGAATCAGTGTAGCAACCCCAGGTTTTCGAACCTGGGACTTCGCGCTTATGGGCCCCATGCACCACCTACTGGACCAAGTTGCTGGGAATTTCGTGTCCTGCGTGACACTGTACGATGATCACTGAGTTGCACTCCAATCTCTCTCCTGCATGTCGAACCGCGGGATCCTTCCCAGCCACACCCCGTCTCCACCAATTCAATATTCATCCTACAAATGAATACTCCGCATTCCAGCTCTTTCTGGCCTTATTTATGCCCGGCATATGCGCACACCCCCCCAACCATCCCCTCCACTGGTAGAGACACCAGAAACATGGTTTTTTTTTTTTTTTTTTTTTTTTTTTCTTGTCATTTTATTCAACCGCAGGCTATGCCTATGGTGGTCGTTACACTGTTTCTACCTGCGGTGGGCTCGGGCCTTTCCCCTCTCTCCCTGGGACTCCCAGCCCCCTGCGGCCTCGCGCTGGCTTCTGCACCGATGACGGGTCCTTCCCCCCGCCGGCCCACCTTCCTTAAAGGTGTTTTTGCCCCGCGCTGCTTGGTGAGGATGGGTATTCGCGCTCTCCTGTTTGGGACTTTCGTGTGTGTTGGTCTGGCTTCGTAGGTGCTTGGCCGCCAAGGCAGACTGGCACGGCAAAAAGGAGCATCGCAGGTGTAGGTAGAGGGGTCCTACAGATGGTGCTGAGCAGGCTTGAGCATCGTTGGTGAGGCAGGTCTTAGTTCCTCCCTGCGTCGAGTCCGGTTTTTGTCGATGCGCGAGCAGATTGCGGGTTGTAGTTATGTTGGATTGTCATGCATGTGGTGGGCACAGGGGGTGCCTGTGCTGGGGTGCGTTTCGATGGTATCCGTATACATAGTTCCCCTTGTGGTCCGTCTGTATGTCTATCTAGGCTCTGTTTTGAACATAGGTGGGGGTTACATCACCAAACACCGGTTGCAGCCGTTTGGTGGCTGCCACGAACGCCAGGGTTGCCTTCATCGCCTTGTGGGTTCCTAGTAGCTCCTTCAGTGACTTCGACCTGCGTCCCAGCTTCCGTCGCAGGTGTATCCTCGCATGTTCATGCGCCTGGCAGTCGAGCAGGAAGTGAGCCGTTGACTCCTCCATGGCGGTGCAGGCTGGGCATATCGGTGATGGGGCTCTTTTGATGCGGTAGAGGTGCTTGTTGAGTGGGATGTGCCCTGTGCGCATCTGTGTCAGCAGGCTGATCTGTCCCCTGGTGAGCCCTGCTGTGGCGTCATAGTAGCTCCTGGATGGCAGCTTGTCATCTATTGGTGCTATTCATGTGTATCGCTATAAGGGCAACCTGGGCAGACGCTCTACACTCAAGCGGCGAACTGGCAAAGGGGGATCCAAAGTGAGATAGAGAACTATATACAGGACATAGACATACCTGGCGAAGGGGGATCCAAAGAGAAAACTCTAAGGAACCCCTTCGCCACCTAACTACGACTATAAGCAAACGCGGGTATGCTAGCCCGATCACCGAATGCCCAAGTTACATAAGCAATCACGCCAGCGATAACAGGGCTGGACAAATAAGGAAGGAATGATGTCGGAAGGGGCCGGAACAGGAAGGGAAATAAATGGAACACAAGACAGAAGGGTGCTAAAGGCTAGGAGAAGCTCAGGGGCCACCAACAACACGCTGCGATGATGCAGTGTGCGACCACGCACAGTGCTATCATGCGCACAGTGCGATCATGCACAGTGCGATCATGTGCACAGTGCGACCATGCACAGTGCGACCATGCACAGTGCGACCATGCACAGTGCGACCATACACAGTGCGATCATGCACAGTGCGGTCATGCACAGTGCGGTCATGCACAGTGCGGTCATGCACAGTGCGGTCATGCACAGTGCGGTCATGCACAGTGCGATCATGCACAGTGCGATCATACACAGTGCGATCGTACACAGTGCGATCGTACACAGTGCGATCGTACACAGTGGGATTGTATACAGTGAGATCATGCACAGTATGTGTGATTGGTGTTCCCCTGACATCACCCCCCCTCTAGAATGCGGTGACCCGACGCATGAAGTCCCACTGGTGGAACAGGGATGCGATTCTGAAAGGTGACAGCCTCCAAGGAGCGAATGCGACGAGGGGCACCTGGATGCGAACGGTAGAAGTCGGCAATGAGGTCAGGAGCTTGGACATCGCCCTCATTTTCCCAAGAATTCTCTTCATAGCCATACCCCTTCCACTTGATGAGGAACTGGAGGCGATTTGCTTGCATGCGACTGTCTAACACCTGTTCAACGTCAAAGTGCTCATCACCCTCTCTAAGGATAGGTGGAGGTGGTGGGGATGGTCGCCGACCCAAGATTGGACCGGATGGAGCAGGAGTGAGCTTAATGACGGGGAAAACAGGGTGGAGGCGACTTAGAGACCTTGGGAGGCGGAGACGGTAGGCTTGTGACCCAACTTGGCGTTCAACAACATAGGGGCCAAGTCACCGATGAGCTAGCTTTTCGAAGGACGGGTGGTGTGTATATCACTTGCATCAAGGTAAACCCTGTCACCCGGAGAAAATGTAGGTGCTGGGTCACGTCGGCGATTATAGTATGTCGCCATGTCCTCCTTCGACTTTGCCAGTGCCGACTTCGCTTCTGACAGTGACTCCTCCATGCGTTCCTTGAATTCATTGACAGACTCAAGGTTTGATGGGGGTTGATGTGGTTCGAAGCCCATTCGTGGGTGCCGCCCATGTCCAGCATGAAGGGCGATTGATGAGTGGAAGCATGCACATGGTTGTTGTACTGGAACTCAGCCATGGGCAAGAGGTCATCCCAGTCGTCTTGTCGCTCATTGACAAAGAGTCGAAGGTACTGCTCTAGCTCTTGATTGAGTCGCTCCGTCTGTCCGTCAGTCTGTGGGTGGTATGCTGTGGAGGCTGCGATGTGAATTCCCAGCAGGCGATAAAGCTCACGAGTGAATTCGCGCACGAACTGGACTCCGCGATCTGACACCACTGTTCACGGGAGGCCATGCAGCTTCCAGACATGGTGTAGGAAAAGTCGCGCTGCTCCAGCTGCAGTGATCGTGGTGTTAGTGGGGATGAAGTGTGCCCGCTTGGAGACCGAGTCCACTACATTCATCACAGCATCGTAGCCATGTGCGTCAGGCAGTTCCACAATGAAGTCAACACTGATCATGTCCCAGTGAGCTTCAGGGACGGGGAGTGGACGGAGTTCACCGAGGGGTGGCTGCCTTCGTGCCTTTGTTCGCAGGCATAAATCGCACGCCTTGGAGTACTCGCCAATATACCGCGACATGTGGGGCCACCAGTAATTTCGTGAGACAAGTTCAAGGGTCTTCCATCGCCCAGGATGACCAGCGATCCGTGAATCATGGTGCTGGGCAACAATTCATTGCCTGAGGTCCTGGACATCTGGAACGTAAACTTTACCTCGGAACGTGAGCAGCCCATCCATCTCAGCCCACTCTGCAGACACCAGTGATTTCCCACCAGACTCTCGCAGCTTCTTTACCGCCCCTGCGACCTCGTCCTCCAGTGACCCATCCCCAAATGCCTTCTTCATGTCATGAACAATCCCACGTTCTTCCCCCGCCAGGGTGAGCCCCTCCAGGGCGCAAACAATGAACAGCTCTGGGTGTAGGAGTGTCAAATCGCTGTTGTCACCTGATCCTGACCCATGGTCTGAGCGCCGCGATAGTGCATCTGACTTGCCCATCGTGACACCAGGCCGATGGTGAAGCTCAAAATTGAAATGCGACAAGTAGAGAGACCATCTAGCCTGCCTGCGATTAAGCTTCTTTGCAGTGCGAAAATACTCCAGGTTCTTGTGGTCTGTCCAGATCTCAATGCGATGCTAAGTGCCTTCAAGGAAATGTCGCCATTCCTCTAAGGCGCGAATAATAGCCAGCATCTCCTTGTCATGAATCTCATAATTTCGCTCCACAGGAGTGAGACTCTTTGAGTAAAACGCAATGGGATGCCATTTGTTGTCATCTGGAGATCGCTGGGACAGGACTGCACCAGTGGCGACATCTGAACTGTGAGCCTCCACCCGGTATGGTTGATTGTCATCTGCACAGTGCAGGATCGGTGTGATGTGAATCGCAGGCTTCAGCCCATCAAATGCCTGCTGTTCGCGATCACCCCATGACCATTGTACATCCTTCTTGGTGAGCTCGAACAGGGGCCGCGCATTGATGTGAGAAGCCCTCGACAAACCGGCGATAAAAGTTGGCAAATCCCAGGAAGGCCTGCCCCTCCTTGCGATTTGCTGGGGTTGGCCAGTCCATGACACCTGCGACCTTGATGGGGTCCATCTCCACCTTGCCATGTGACACAATGAGCCCAGGTACTCAATCTTTGTTCGCTCAAATTCACATTTCTCAGGGCGAAGGTAGAGCTTGTGCTGCCGTAGGCGCTCAAGGACTATTCGCAGAAGTCGGTGATGCTCCTCAAGGGTGTCGGTGACGATCAGGATGGCATCCAGGTACATACACACATGCCCCTCCATGATGAGGTCTTGGAAGATGTCATTCATCAAGGTCTGGAATGTCGCAGGGCTGTTTGTGAGTCCAAAGAACATGACAAGGGGTTCAAAGAGGCCGCGATTAGTGCGGAATGCAGCCTTCCACTCATCGCCATCCTTTATTCGCACATTATTAAAGCCCCATCGCACATCTAGGTTGGTGAAGTATTTCGCTCCACGAAGCTGCGCAATGAGCTCAGAAATGATGGGAAGGGGTAGCGGTTCTTCACTGTCATGCCATTGAGCACGCAATAATCCTGGACCAGGCGCAGCGATCCATCCTTCTTCTTGATGAAGAACACTGGGCTAGCCATAGGTGATTTCGAGGGGCGAATGCGGCCAGTGCGCAGGTTCTCCTGCAGGAATTCATCCAGCTGCGACTGTTCACTGGGGGCAAGTGGGTAAACTGTAAGGACCCGGCCTTTGGCCGGTTACTTACCGGTAGAACCTTCTTCCGAGCCCGAGCCTTGTGATATTCGTGCCCGAGTACATATGATACTTATCCGCGCCCGAGCCCGAGCCCTAGCTTGAGTTTCATATCCGACCTTGATCCCATGCCCGTGTCCCCTT